TAAAGCAGGTTTTTTGGGTTTATTTGTCTTCTATAATTGAAACTTTGATACCTTGAGTGGAGCTCAGAGCCGGCCGTGGGAAGCTTGGCTTCCTCCATCACTGGGCAACCAAGCCTCCTGCTTGCTCCAGCTTTGTGGCTGCCAGCTGCCATCTTGGTTGGGTTAATTTGCATATAGTCTCTCTGATTGGCTGGTGGGCATGGCTTAAGGTGTAGCCAAGGTACGATCAATTTGCATGTTTGTCTTTTATTAGTGTAAATGGTGTCCATCTAAAAATTTCTATGTTGAAGCCAGAATCCCAGTCCCTCAGAATGTAGCCATATGTGGAGACAGGAGTGATTACATGGAAATGAGGTCACTTGAGTGGGCCTGAGTCCAATATGACGTGACTGTGTAATAAGAGAAAATGTGGACAGACATGCACAGAGGAAAGATGCCATGAAGAGGCAGGAAGAGAAGGCCGTGTGCAAGACAAGGAGAGAGGCTTGTGACAGGCCCTTCCCTCATGGCCCTCAGAAGGAACAACATCTACCAGCACTTTGACCTTGGACTTCTAGTCCGGAGAACTGAGAAAATAAACTGCTATTGTTTAAGCCACCACAATGGTGGTACTTTGTTATAATACCTCTGGCAAATGAGTACTCTGTCCACCCGATCAGCAGTTTGTCTTGGTGCCAAAATACCCACAAAACCCAGCCATTCCTCACCACTTCTACTGCTATCACCATGTCCAAGACATCATTATCTCTCCATGAATTCTTGCAATGGGCACCTGACTGGTCTCCCTGCTCCCACCACCACATTCCTACAGCTCATCCTTGACACAGAAGGCAGAGTGATCCTGTTAAAACATATGTCAAACAATGAGACTCCCCTGCATCTCACCTGAGGAAAAGCAGTGACCTGAAGGCCCTACACACACTGGAGCTGCACCGATAGTGCTCCTCTTACCTGGGTGCCTCCACCTTCCTGCTTTCCTGGTGTCCTTCCTGGTGTTCTTGTTGGTGTCTTTCCTGGTGTCCTTGTTGGTGTCCTTCCTGGTGTCTTTCCTGGTGTCCTTGTTGGTGTCCTTCCTGGTGTCCTTGTTGGTGTCCTTCCTGGTGTCCTTGTTGGTGTCCTTCCTGGTGTCTTTCCTGGTGTCCTTCCTGGTGTCCTTCCTGTCCATCCTCATGTCCTTCCTGGTGTCCTTGTTGGTGTCCTTCCTGCCCATCCTCGTGTCCTCCCTGGTGTCCTTGCTGGTGGTCTTCATTGTGTTTCTGTTTTCCTGGACACTCTCCAGCTGTGCTCCCACCTATGGCTTCTCTACTGTAAGAAACATTATCTATAGAAGCAGCTTCTTTCTACCCAATCAGTTCTACATCTTTGCTTTTCCCCGCACCTGATAGTAACGTGAGAAGAAAAGTGGTAGCAGGTGCAGGTGAGAACTTAGTAGAGAAAAGTGTCCTTCCTGGTGTCCTCGTTGGTGTCCTTCCTGGTGTCCTTGTTGGTGTCTTTCCTGGTGTCCTTCCTGGTGTCCTTCCTGTCCATCCTCATGTCCTTCCTGGTGTCCTTGTTGGTGTCCTTCCTGCCCATCCTCGTGTCCTCCCTGGTGTCCTTGCTGGTGGTCTTCATTGTGTTTCTGTTTTCCTGGACACTCTCCAGCTGTGCTCCCACCTATGGCTTCTCTACTGACTATTCCTCCTCCTGAGAACCTCCTCCTACAGACATGGCACCCTTTCTCCACCAAATTCCTATTCTGTTTCTGGATACATTTTCCTCCACAGAAGCTACTTTCTAACATGCAATGAATCTAGTATTTGTGGTGCTGTTTCCTTGCATGAGAGTGGCCTCCGTGGGTGAGGTGGGGGTTGTTTCTGGGTATTGCCAGCGCACAGCTCAGTGCCTCACACTTGTAAGCTTGGACGCAAGAAGGAATCCTGCGGCCCCAGTTCCTCCCTATATGCACATCCTCTGCCATATTGCTTGGCAATGTCCTTCCACCCTGGCCTAAGTGACCCACCTGGCCCGCTTCCTGCCACTCAGCTCAGTAAGTTCCTTGTGTGGGTCAGTGGGCTAGCAGCAGGCATGGCGATGGAAGCAGAGGCTTGCCTTTCTACCCTGCCTCCTGTGCCTGCACAATTACCATGAGGAGGATGCGAGTGGAGTAACCATCAGTCCTGAGACAAAGGGCAATGCCACATGGAGAAGCGTGAAGCCAGCACAGGTACAGAAGAGGCAGCGGGGCCAGCGGACACCACACAACCCTCTGGAGCAGGGGTATGACAGTCAGACCGCCCACCCTACCCAGAGCAGCTGCCTCCCCTCCACCTCCACCTCCTGACTCAGGCGCTTTAATAATAAGTGACTATTGTTTTGAGCACTTGACTATTGGGTTGGTTTGTTATGTAACATTATTATGTCAATATGTAAACAAAACAGCATGCAGTAAATATTTGTTGAGAAAGGAAGAAATTTATTACAGCGATTACCATGAGCCCAAGGAGTTCTATAGGCACACCTGTGCTTTGAAAACAAACAGAAAACAACGCTAACCGCATTCTGGGCTTGGAACACTGAGGGCTGTGAATCATGAAAGAGTCATCCTTAGAAGTTTTGCTGGTGACTGGCCACGGCACTAACTGCTGGGCCTGACTTTAGTCTAAGTTTGAGCAGGACTCTTGGCAGCAACACCTTTTTTTTTAAAATTTCTTTTATTATTATATTGTTTTAGCTTTTCCCAAGAGACAAACAAAATGAAGAATAAACATTAAGGACAATGACATCTGATGTTTTTGGATAGGAGCTGTGTACTTTCTTTTTTAAAAAGATGTTTTCATTGACGTTAGAGAGAGAGGAAGGGAGAGGGAGAGACACATGGAAGCTGATGAGAGAGAAACATCCACATCAATTGGCTGCCTCCTGCACACCCCTGGGGGGACCAGCAAGCCTGGTTGTGAACCAGCGACCTCTTGGTTCACTGAGCACACTGGCCGGGCAGAGCTGCGCACTTTCTTTCTGCTTTATTTCCATACCTTTCATTTCTCTGCCAAGCTGCACATGGGAAGTCTCTTTCTCCATCATTAGATTCCTTCTGCCAAGTTTGAGAACCCCCCTTACTGCATTGCCCTGTCACATCTTTCTCCAAGGACCCACTGCCTCCGGAATTCTCTGCAGAACACTAGAAAGCAACAGCATGAGGGTCCCAGGGGGAACGGAAGGGTACCCAGCACACCTAAAACAATCACTTCTTTTCATGTCATCGTTTGTAACATCAATAATTAGTACATACCAGAGATAGGACCTGAGAGAACTAAAGCTGAAATGGCTTGTCAGTACCGCATCCCTCCATACCCACTTCCCAGCATAAACAGCGCACTTCACAATTCAGAAAATTACTTAAAACTAAAGGCCCGATGCACAAAATTCATGCAAGGAGCTCGGCCCTCGTAGCTGCGGCAGCTTGCCTGGGCCCTTGCAGCCCCAGCTTCGTCTGGAAGGTCGTTCGACTGTCCAGTTGAATTAGCATATTGCACTTTTATTATTATAGATTTACCTGTAAAACATTGTGTATGAAATGCTTAAAGGAAATGCTTAAATAATTAAATGAAGTATGCACATGGCAGAGAGCAAGTCAGGCATGTAACAATATCGCCTTTCAGAGACACGAATCAGTTGTCTCTGACAAATTTAGTATTTACAGTTCAATTAGCCTGCAACTTGCAGTGTTTGGCTGGAACAGGCTCATGCCCAGAGATTAAATGCCTCTCCCTGCAAGACAGGACACAGCCAGCCTTTCCCTGATCCTCCTTCCACCTGTGTCCCAGGCAAATCCACACACCACAGGGGCCACCTCTTCCTTCTTCTAACTCTGCCCGGAACCCATCTCTAACACATCTATTTTTTAAAAAACGTATGTATCAATTTTTTTTTTTGAGAAAGAGATGGGGCGGGGGGAGAGAAACATTGGTTTGTTGTTCCACTTACTTGTGCATTCATTGGTTGATTCTTGTCTGTGCCCTGATCAGGGATCAAACCTGCAACCTTGGTGTTATTAGGACGAGGCTCTAACCAACTGAGCTACTTGGTCAGGACACTCATATTTTTCCTCATTTGGGGCAGTGGAGTGATATAAATCTTTAGCCCAATCTTTACTTTTGAAAAGGAACAAACTGTTCTACTCACTTGTCACCTGTCACCAGGCAGGACTTAGCAGGGTGGTGGGGCAGGGAGAAGAGTGCTGGCGAAAGGGAGAAGCAGGGGGACAGCATGGCTGTGGGGTCCATGGGGAGGAGAGGCAGAGCCATCTGCATCGAGCCGCTCCCAGGGATTGTAATGCAGGGCCGCGGTCCCACGCAACAGCCAGGTGCTCTGGCCTACCTCCCGCCTCCAGGAACAGTGAACACTGCCCAAGGTAAATGGCCATGTTGCCAGATTTTTACAGTGAAGATATTAGTTTGTGTTGTTTTATTACTTTATGTCTATATGTGACAAATATTTTCCTTTAGTGATGAAGTATGGCTGGTTCCAAGGAGCCGTTCTACATTGGTAAACAGTATGGTCAGGGTTATAAAGGTGGTTATAGCATTTGAAATCTGCACAACTCATTTTATGACTTAGTGACATCACACACACACACACACACACACACACACACACACACACTCACACTCACCCCTCTATTTGCTTTATGACTTTTTTGTTGCCTTTATTATACTGCAAACATTTAAAGGCCTGAGTCTGTCGTTTACACTTCTCAGGTAGTGTGCCATCACAGAAGCACTTAAAAATGCCCTATATTACATTACATAAATTGGTAGGCTGGTCAACTTCCTGTAATCAGCTGGGGTGGGCTCTGTTAGGAAAGACAAGGCAGGAGGGCAAGAGGACCCACCAACCACAGCTTAGAACCTGCCCACCTTCAGGGACCAGCTGACATGCCACCTCCTTCCTAAGTCTTTTCTCGCCAGCAGTTCTGACTGGCTAGGCTGCCTTTTCCACTTCAACTCTAAGATCCTTGAAGAGAGTCACCGAATCTTATTTATCCAGCACAGAGCATTTAAAAGTAAAAACCCCACAGATAGACAGATGATACATAGATGGTAGATGATAGACAGATGATAGAGAGATGATAGATAGATGACAGAACATAGATAGATGAGAGATAGATGACAGATCATAGATACATGATAGATAGATGACAGATCATAGATAGATGATAGACAGATGATAGATGATAGATGGTGTATAGATGATGGATAGATGATAGATAATCAATGATAGATGATAGATCATAGATCATAGATGATAAAGGTGATAGATGATAGATAATAAATAGATGACAGACATATGATAGATGATAGATAGATGATAGATGATAGACAAGTGATAGACGATAGACAGATGATAGACGCATTTATAAAAGTGCACATAATCTTTTAGCTAAGTGTAGCTTTAAAAATACTTGTTATTTCTGTTAGTCTATTTATGTCCTCAGATGCTCTCAAGATATTTGGCAGAACAAATAGTAATGGGACCCCCAGTTTTTACCAAATAGACTGCATTCAGTGTCACCTGCAGTGAGAAGTGTCCCACCACTGGGCCTGGCTGCGAAGGGCCAGGCCTGTGATGTAACTGGAAGGACTGTGTGGAAATGTGTGTGTCCCTGTTAGGAGGAGGCTAGAACATATTCTTTGTCTCTTCACGATCCTTCTTCCCAAGGTCAGCTTGGACGTTATGCATAAGAGCTAATGCTGGAGCAGACATTTTGGTCTATGAAGCAACTTTGAAATGGAAGTTGTTAGTAGCATCAACTAGACAGAGGGCCCTGGGACTGTGAGGAACCTGTGAGCAGAACTCAGCGAGGAGACCTACACTGCCTGCCTCTGGCTGTTTATACCAGAGAGAAACACACTCTGTCTTGTTAAACCCACCGCTGCTTCAGGTCTGTTACAGCCCAGCTCTGTCCTAAAGGACACCCTCTGGCAACACAGGGAACGTTATGAAACACAACTCCCATCAGTGAGTGCCCAGAGCCATCGGGAGCCACCTCATCAGGTGAGGGCTCCGCCTCCTTACTTGTCTCTCCAAAAATTGTGGCCCCAGTGTCCACAGACATCTTCAATCCCAGTCTTCACATGGTCAAAAAACTAGAAAGAAGAAAGCAGCTCATTGATTAATCTTAACTAAAAGCACTAATTTCTACTCTATTCATATCATGCCTACACTTCAAATACTAGTAGCTTTTGCTTTTTTTTTTTTTTTAACTGAAAGCAATGAAACAAGAATCAATCTTCTAACATTGATGAGATATTTGTCACCTGGATATTAAGCAATTCTGAGATTACTTTTTTCATCTTTAAATGTTTATTCATAATTTTAGAAAATATGAAATATGACAATTTTCTAGTGGAAACATTTTCAGGTTGAAGGAGGTGATGAGGGCCCCTCACTGGGGAGCGCACCAGGCTGAGCTGGAGAAGCCACCCCGAGGCTTCGCTCATTCCGCACCCCAACTCCTGCCTTTCTCGGCCCTCCCTCTTCTTTACCTCCCTCCATCCCTCTTCTCCAGGCACTGAGCCCCCGGCACCACATTGTGTGCCAGCACCCACGTCCTCTTTCTCACCTGGCCCATAGCCCCCCGGAACCTACCCGGCTGTGGATCTCCTCACTCACGGCCTGCTGCTTCTTATTGGCCTTTTTAACATCAAGAAACTCCACTAGTGGCCGGATGGTTATTCCCTGCATGTAAAGAGAGAAAGTGAATTTTCTTATAAAATAAAATTAAAAATTCAATGATAACTTTTATTTTCCTCAGGTCCCATAACCAGCAAAGATATCCTGCTCCCAAGATGCAACCCGGTGTGTGGACATTGTGTGGTCTCTTCCTCCTCAGCAGCTGGCGTCTTTCCCGAGGGCATGTGCTAGAAACAGGATGAATAAGATGCAAGAAACTGAAAATGTAATTCTAAGAATAGAAAGAAATTCTAAGAAAGAATAAAGTATTATCCAAGTTACAGGAATCACCTGCTTGTATTATCCATAGAAAACTTTTCAATGATTTTTACATTCATTGGTTTATTAAAACAATTTTAATTGAGCATCTATTTTATACATGTCAGGAGCTTGGTCATTTAAGACACAAACAGGAATAGTTAAGGACCTCAGCTGAGGACTATAGTGTGATGGGGAGAAAAATATACCCCAAACAGCTATGAGCAGGCAGAGATGAGCGAGACACAGGGCGCGGGAGCACCGAGGGGAGCCTTCAGACACGCTGGGCGGAGGAGCGCGCTGGCCGCCAGGAGGGCACGGAGAGCTGGGCATGTTTCACCCAGCGTGGGAAATGAGAACCACAGCGTGTCTGGCAAGCAGGGAACAGAAAGGAATGTCCTTAACATGCTAAACTACCTGCCAAACCCCAGGGAACAGCGGACTTGATAATGAAACATGAAAAGCATTTCCATCACAACCAGGAACCAACAGGGAACTCGCTCCGTGCTGGGCCGGCTCCACTTGTCCGAGTCAATCAAGGGGGAGAGAGATTTGGGAAAAACAAGGTGATTGCTGCTCAGGGATCGCTTTATTTTGGTCCTAAAATATCTAAGATGATTATTTTTCATTTAAAAGTACCAAGAAAGTTTCATGAAGTGTCTACATAAAATCACATACACAAATCCATCCCTTACACCGATTTAAAAAGGAATCAAAACACCTATACAATAGCAATGAAAACTATACTTATGTCTGTATCTACATCTAGAGAGAGAGAACACATATAACAGTATGCACCAGAGTACAAATAATACATTAGATATAGAGTAGTATACTGTCTAGACACTAAATACACATGTATGTATACTTAAATATTCTCTTCATATATATCACAAAATGCATAGAACCTTTATAAAACCAACTATAAAATTTAATTAAAAGATATTAAAATGATTTGAGTTTTAAAATGATATACAGTTCCTAGATGGGATTACTGAACAATATTATTACAATGATTTTATTTCAACATCCATGCAATACAACCCCAATAACATTCCAAAGGATTTGTAGCAGACGTGAGAGAGCAAGCTGAGAGGCTGGGAGAGCAAATGTAACCAGAAAAATTCAGAAAAAGAATAACAAGGACTTTCAGATGTCAAACAAACTAGCAGGAATATAACTAAAATTAGGTGATATTATCCCTAAAATAGGCCAGGTGAGGGGCAGTGAGAAGGGGCATCAGTGAAGTTCCCTAAGTCTCTTGCTTAGTAGGTGAAGGCTACCACTACTTGGCATGAAGAATACATGTATAGGAGGGGTTACTGGGGGTTTAGGGGGTAGTGGATATGTTGAGATATGTTCCCTGCTGTACATTTGATTTCCATCTCATATTTCCACACATCTTTAAATCTTTAAGAATGCTTTTAATAAAACAAATTCTCTCTCTCTCTCTCTCTCTCTCTCTCTCTCTCTCTCTCTCTCTCACACACACACACACACACTTTAAAAAATGAGGCCATTTATTTTATCCCATCAATCCAGCGTTGGGCATTTTTCAGCTTAACTTTAACTGTCTGAAGTGTGAACTGATTTGACCAAATTTGGTATGACACACCTTTCATTGTATCTGTGTCACTTTCAAAGTGTGCTGCTTTGAAATAACATAGGTGGTAATAGCAGTTGTCTAATCAATACACACTCTGTCATTTATAACTTATGTAAATGAAAAGAGGTGCAAACATGTGTTTGACAGAGATGGATTTCCCTGCATCCAGAGTCCATGAAGCCACTAGTTTAATAACTCCAGGGAAAACATCGACAAAATCACTGCAATTTTTAAAACTATGTAATGTGTTCTAAGGATATAATCTGTCATTTTACCTGCTTTTTTCTGTCACTATTCATTTAGTAAATAGTGGGTCCATGGTAGTTGTAAATATAGCACATAAAAATAAAGATGGGACAAGGGCCTGCCCCAGTCCTGTGCCAATTTCACTCTGGGAGAATAATCGAGAAATAACTGCACTGTCACAAATAAGACACAACTGACCAACTACAGGAAGCAGGCATGGCCTGGCGCCCCGATCCACTGAAGTTTCTAAACTACAACATGCTATATAATAAAAGTGTAGTATGCAAATTGTCCCCTCAATCAGGAGTTCATCCAGGAATTTGACCAGGGGCAGGGCTGGCTGGGGGAAGGGAAGCAGTACCTGGTGGCAGCTGGCAGCCACTTGGGATCCTATCAGTGCACAAATTTCATGCACTGGGCCTCTAGTGCCTTATAATTAGTTTCTATTTAATAACAAGTACTGATTGTAGGCAAGGGCTGCTGACACTGCTCCCTTCAATGGTCACTCCTCTCTCTGGATTATCTGCAGTCATGTCATGCCCCATGGGAGAGATTTCACAAGTTCTGCCTTCCTCTCCTCTTCCTTCCTTCCTTGCTTCCCTCCTTCCTCCCTCCCTCCCTTCATCCCTCCCTTCCTCCCTCCCTTCTTCCTCCCCTCCTTCCTTCCTCCCTCCCTCTATCCCCCTCCTTCCCTCCCTACCTCAATCCTTCTTTCCTTCCTTCCTTACTTGGTTCCCTTCTCCTTCTCTACCTCCCTCCCTTCCCTCCTTTCTTCCCTCCTTCCTTCCTCCCTCCCTTCACCTCCCTCCTTCCCTCCCTCCCTCCCTCCTTCCCTTCTTTCCTTCCTTCCTGGCCCACATTTCCATACACACTCTTCCAAGCCCTATTTATATAACCATGTGGTTCCCTCTCTCCCTTCCTTCCTTCCTTGCTTCCTTCCTTCCTTCCTTCCTTCCTTCCTTCCTTGGTTTCTTCCTTCCTTTCTCAATCCTTATGCTTTGGAACTAGGGTACTTGGCACCTCTGAGTGTCGTATGAATTTATTTCCTTAAGTTAGATGTTATATTACAGGAGCCTAGGTCTTTGGTTGGGAGAGACAGAGGGGAAAAAAAGAACACCTTTGAGAAGGCACATTGGAAAATTTCTAATTTAGGTCACCTGGGGAGCAACCCAATACGGACTAGAAAGATAGTTCACTCCCTTAAAAACAAACAATCATCAAACAAACACACCACCTCAGGCTTCCATCAAACCACTGCAAAACATAGCTGCAAAGCTCAAGTACAATTTTCAGCCATTCATTTGGCTTTGGCTCAACAGATGCGCCACCTGAGAGCGGGATCTGCAAGGGCTGCTGGGCAGCAGGCACAGAGGAACTGGTTTCCACGGCCCCTCTCTGCTCCAGCGCCCCCCCCCCCCCCCCCCCCCCCCCTGCACCTTGAAAGCCGCGGCCCCCTCTCTGCTCTCAGTGCCGTAAAACCTACTGCTTATAAAATACCGGTAATGAGTGTCCTTTTTGGTTTGTTCTTTTGGAAGAAACTGATTTCTTTGAATTAATTTTTTTAAAGGAAGGAACTGCCTTATATTTCTTTGCTGATTTAGCAGGCAATTTTGGGAAAAACTTAAATAAACTATTTTGTTAAAAAAATATATCACTAGCCCAGCCAGTGTGGCTCAGTGGATGAGCATCGGCCTATGAACCAGAAGGTCATGGTTTGATTCCCGGTCAGGGCACATGCCTGGGTTGTGGGCTCCATCCCCAGTGTGGGGCGTGCAGGAGGCAGCTGATCAGTGATTCTCTCATCATTGATGTTTCTCTCTCTAATTTAGGTCACCCGGGGAGCAACCTGATAAGGCCTAGAAAGATAGCTCACTCTCTTAAATCCATCAAAGAGCATTTAAATAGATGTCTCTCAGTGTGACTGCCACACACACTTCACACAGACCGCAAGCCCCCTGGGCACAGTGTTTACCAGGTGCGCGCAGGTTTCACGCTCCCCCCCCTCAACCCCCGCACCGGCTCGAGCCCCCCTGGGAAGGCCTCTGCTCAGCCTTCCTCCAGGCCTTGGCACTGCACAGTGCTAGCTGCATGCGGCCTCCCCCCTGTGCCCTCCCCTTCACTGCCACTGCTGCTAGGACTCCTGTCTGTAAATTCAGACGCAGAAACCCCCTTCGGTACATGCTCCCCTGTGTTACTCCCACTCTCCTCTCCCAGACTCCACTGAGCTGCGGTGTCTCCTACCTCCTGCTTCTGGCTCGCCTCCCCCCAACCCTCCCCTTCATGCTCTGACAGTACTCTGTGAAGCAGGGCACTCCCTGCCCCGCTCCTTGCCCACCTGGCCTGGCCCCCACAGGGCCCCCCACCTGGCCTGGCCCCAAAGCTGTAGCCAAGGTGGCTAGAACCCTCTCCTTCCTGACCACGCCCCTCACCTGACTTCAGGACGCCTCCTATGCTTTCTTCAATGTTACTGTTCACCTTTCCAGGCTCCTGGGCCAGCTCTTCAGCGTTTGCTTGACCTCTAAAGGTCAGTGCCATCTCTCCTCACTCTGCCCTGGGCCAGACTCAGGCTCTCAAAGCCGCCTCCGCGCTGGTGCGTCTCAAGTGTGCCTCTCCCCTAAGTTCTAGGCCCATAGCACAGCCGCCAGGGCAGTCTCCAGGACCCCAAGAGGCGAATGTGCAGGCTCAGCATGGCAACCTTGTCGTCCCCCCCACCCCCCCGCCCCACACAACCGCCCCACACACTGCCTGCAGGAAGTGAATGTCCCTCTGAATGCCCCTTCTTCCCTCACTTGTTCAGTCAGAACCCCTGGTGCTATGTCTGCTGTTCTCTCTCTCACATCCTAAACGATGCACCCACATTTTTCATCTTAAAACATTCTGATCATCTTGCTCATTTTGTTGTAGAACAAGAATAAAATTTTCTGAATTCCATGGAACTCTACCAGTAATGGCATGGGAGTGAAAGGTAGGAATGTGCCATTATTACACTGCACAGCAATATGGAAAACATTTATTTTCCAATGGCCATTTATTTTCCAAACCCAGGCTTATTTGAAGGTTCACGCTCTGTAAGAGAGTGCCGGCACCTCAATGCTGAGAGGCTGTGAGCAGGGGTGTCGGGCTGTCTGGGAGGCTCCCTGCTGTCTGAGTGTCCACACCCCTGCAGAGGGTGCCACAGCGCAAGGCCGACTGCTGTCACCAGGCCGGGTCAAGGTTGCACTTGCAACAAGCTAAGTTGAGAGATGAGGTAATGCTACCCTTGGACAAAGAGTGTCAGACCTCAGCTCAGTCCTGCCCCTGTCCCTCTGCCCCCGCACATGCAGGCATTCCCCACCGGCCCTTGTGTCACCCACAGCGACTTCAGTGTAGAGAACTGACACAAATCAACATGAAGGATTTAACCCTGAGTAAGAAAGTCCTTCGTCTCTGACCCGGGAGTCAGGTGTCTTCTGCAAGCATCCATGAAAATGTAACAGTAACCTGGTAACCTGCTAGTCAGATAAAATCCAGACACTTCACCACTCCGGCCAACACCGCAGAGCAGATACAACACTATGGTCAATGGAGGCCACAGAGACTGCTGCCCCTTGAATTCCAGCCAGCCTTGCTACCTGATGGGCTTCCAGACAGTCAATGAATGGGTTTCCAGAATTCTGAGGACCCGCTACACGATTATAGGGATTAATTAAATAATAACTTTGTGCTCTAATCATTTCTCCTTTCCAAGAAAAGTTGTTAAGTTTTTCTTCCTTTTATGAGCATTTTACTTCGTTATAATTAAACACAGCAAATCATCCAGTCACATCATCCGGCCAGTCCCTGCACCAGCTGCTGTGCTCAGATTTCCTCTCTGCTGCCTGGGAGGAGGGACCTTATCCAGATCCCAGAGCAAGTAAGCAGAGGCCGCAGGGGCAGGGGCAGGGAGGAGCCGCCCAGACTGCCCGCCCACAGCCACTCCCACGGCTCAGCTTTCTACACTGGACTCCACCTGTGCCTGGTCTTGAGCATAAGTTGAAAACAAGAGAGACAGCTTACATTTTATGTAACATTACTGAAGTTATTTGTAATTTCATAATATTTTAAAATCCTCACTCAAGGAGTGAGGTTATTTTTTCCATTGTTTTTAGAGAGAGTGGGAGGGAAGCGGGAGGCGCGCGGAGGGGGGAGAGAAACATCCATGTGATAGAGCTTCCACGCACCTTTATGGAGCTGCCCCTGGAGAAGGGGCTCATTATGTAGGAGATAGGCCTCTGGGATCCATCTCCAGCAGAGTCAGCTTTTCATGGAAATGGTTACTGAGTTCCCAGGGCAAGCGGGATGAGGGAGGAGGGGAGAGGGTCTAAGCACAAAGAACTCTGTACGTGACCAGCAGCACATTTCCTAGGAAGATCCGCTGCCACAACTAGACAAAGGGAGGTGGAGGCAACTAGAAAAGGCCTAGACCATTTTTTAAAATAACCCAATAGAAGATAATAAGACCTAGGTGACATAGGGAGAAAACTGCTAACCCCATAGGACTCAGCCAGTGAGGGCCCGGGGAGGGACTCTCGCACATTAGGGATCAATTGCCTGTGATTGCTGCTCCATGTGCCTGTCCAACCGGCTCTTGCAAGACCACACTAAAAGTCTCGTTTCGCCAACTTCTGTCTCCGAGCCCGTTAATTGAATTCGGACAGGTGAGCATTTCTCACAATTATGATAGTCTAACGATAGGTTTCCTCCTGGTGAAGGTAGAGACTTTGCTGGGAGAAAAATACTCTACTCACCAGAATGAAGACAGTGAAGAATATGACGACGATTGCAGCCGTGATGAAGAGCTTTTTCCGGGGAAACACAGCCGCGGGAAGGAGAAACACCAGCGCAAAGCAGATGGCCCCTCGGAGCCCTCCATAGGCAATGATGAACTGGTCCTTAAAGGTCAGGGGAATTGTCCGGAACCAGTTAATGGCCTGAGTCAGGACAAAGACACCTGAGAAGGAAAACAGAGCCAAAACACCGGCCTGTGTGAGCCAGGGTGTGTAAATTCGAAGACTCGTTTTCTGAGCTTCTGTGGCAGGGAAAGGACTTAAGCACAGGCCCCAAGGAATCTGGCCCCTTCCTCTCCTTATACGACTAGGCTCTTGGTGAAAGCTCATGGGTTAAAATGTGGACTCAGACGAGTCAAGAAAGGTTAACTTGACTTATAACAAAGGCATGAAGATGCTCGAGGAAGAAAAGAACAGAAGAGGAAGAGGGAGAAGAGAAGAAAGAGGAAAAGAATGAGGATGAAAGGAAAAAGAGGAGGAAGAGAGGGAGATGGGGAGCATGAAGAAAGGAAGGAAGATGGAACAGCAGCAGCAGGGAGGGGCGAGAAGAAGTCCTGCTCTTTGTGAGCTGACGGCTGTTCTCTGGGGCAACTTGCTCCTCACCCAGGGCTCTCCAGACCAGGCAGAAGGCCAGCGTAAAGCTGACGAAGGCCCAGTTCCACTCGTGGTTCTTCCCCACGGTGGACACGCCCATGAAGATGAAGATCAGGGTCTCGCTGACACTGCTCAGCATCTTCATGAAGTACTTGATGGTC